TCAGTCTTTCCTTACCCTGGTAACTGGATATTTTCATTCTCTCTTTCATTTGATTGCGCAACGCTGAAAATTACATTCTGTAGGCTTGTTATTGTTTGGAATAAAGTGATTATTATTATTACCATTGCATGCAAACATTGATTTCTGGTTTGAACTTGAAATCTCTGTGACAGTATGTTAAAATTGTTTCTATACATAAACTTAATAATGTCTTGGGGCTGTAGGCGGCTGATGAGGAGCCAACGAAATAAACAATGATAGTACCATTTTATTCTTCCCGAACCACTGTTGTTCTTGCATTATTCAAATTCATAAACGGCAATAAATGTATGAAGTACTTGATTACTTTAAAGATATTGAGCTTCTGAGCTTCATGCGGGTGACTTCGCTTGGTTTGATGTTCACCGGGAGTTGGTATTCTGGAAGATGGTAGGCTTTCATTTAAGACTTTAAATTATCATGGATTTTATCGAAAAGCAAGTTGTTATTCCTTAGGATTCGATGATGTGACAATTTATGATTACTTGATTAATTGAAGTGCCTCCTATGATGCCAACACATGTAGTTCGGACGACATTTTCAAGCGCAACAACAAAACTACACCGTAATCAGGAATGGAGTTAAATGTTTGTTATCATGAAGTCGTTTGTTCAGTTTCTTACATTTGCATAAGTAAGGCATAGTGGTATCTCCAAGTTAAAGAGTAAAGAATACATTTTAAAGTGACTGAAACAGGAAATCAAATTAGGACAGTTGCCCGCCGATGGGATTAGCTGGCAGTCACGTCATATATCCCAAATCGACAGAAATCAGAATTCATGGACCATTGGATTCCACGTGCCAGCTCATATCTTGTAACCTGAAAGTCTTGAGTTCGGTACCTAGTGAGATCATAAGTTGGAACTGATGAAGAGTCCAATACTAGGACGAAACAGCTGTCCAGTACTCTCATCTCGGTTTCCAATTGGTTCTATACCTGAAGTCAGTTTGGAATCACACTTGAAAACAAACTATTTGACTCCATTGACCTTGAAATTATGTATTCAAACACCAAAATCTCTCAAAGCGTATCACAGTGACAAACCACTTCCAAACTGATTTACAAAATACGCTGAAAAGTCTTAATCATAAAATATGCATTTTATAAATTCTCTCGAAACTCTCATGTTAATCCAGTTTGTAAAATTAAAGGTTATTTATATGCTGACATTATTTTGTTTACCCTTTATCTCTGATAATTTAACCCATACGGTTTTCTTTAAATATGTGTGTGGTCAGAATGCTCGGAATGTGGGCAGTCAATACACTGCGCATGTGTCAGATTGCTGTTACTTCTTATTGTCATGCCAAGCTTCACAAATAAGTTTGTAAAATAGGAATGCTGCATATATGCAGCAAGAAGAAAAAACTGCAATTTCCCCTACTGTGCACATAACCAAAGAGTTGAGGTCAAAAAAAATGTTTAGTAAATAGTCTAGAAATAACAAAATCTACCTTTCTCATACTTCACCAAAGTTATTTTCTGTGTTTACCCAGCAATAGGTGGCCTCCTTTTTTTCATCCCCAATGAATAATAAATACCCCACAAAAAATAACTTTTCCATCTCATTTTTGATACTCTGCGTTTTATCTCTTGGTATATCTCTTCAATAGGGCACAAGATATTAGTATTATACTAAGAAATAGTACACATTATGTGTAACACCTTTGTAACAAAACATGCCAAGATGTTTAGAAAATTTGTAATATGCCTGAAAGGTTAAACTGAACATGATCTTTCCGACTTAAATGTCTCAATTTCGATTCACTAAATTATTATTATTTATTAATTTATTATTCTCTTGGTTTCCAAGTGGAACATAGCGCTTCAACAACACATCTCCTTTTTCTTCTATTTTATGTCGTCCTCTTCATCCGGGCGCACGATTCCCCATAATCCCTCATCTCCTCCTCCAACACATACGATCTCCTCCATGTTAACCTAGGACGACCCATTCGTCGCTTTCCACTTGGATTCCACTCGAACAATGGCCTGCATTGTCCGCGAACTCATTCGACGGTTTCCTCAAGGTATGCCCAGTCCATTTCCATTTTCTCCTACATATTTTTTGAGCGATCAGCTTTCGCCTGTTGGTCTTTTCCCACAATTTCTTGTTAATAATTCTTCCTGGCTCGCCATTTAATCTTCAGCATGGAGCGAAATAGCTGTTGACAGAAGTCTGCAACCTGTTGGCAATACTTTTCTTTACACGCCAAGTTTCTAACCCGTGTAGAAGGACCGAATTGACATTTGTGCTGAAAATCCGAATCTCGTTCTTTATGCTGAAGTGGAGTGGAGAAGATTTCCAAACTAGTTTCAGGTTGATGAAGGCGTATCTTGCTTGTCTTTCCGATTCTGGCTGGTTGGCTGGCTTTCCGACTGCCTGTAGTTGAAATGATGCTTCCTGGTGAGATAAGTGAAGGAGGTAACCTCTGTGAAATCTCGCTCGTTGATGGTGATTGGTGCTGGTTATTGTTATTGTTGTTGCGGTTCGTTGGTTATCTTCATCACCTCTGTCTTCTCTGTGCTCACCTGGAGTCATGTCTTTGCTGTTCTCCCCTTATGCCAGTTTGTTGGTTTTCGCCAGTAAGTCTTCGAGTTTGTGTGACACTGGACACATATCATCTGCGAAATCCAGATTTTCTGGAGTCTCCTTATCGGTGGTCCAGCGTATTCCTGTCCCCTCATTCCCTGCGCATAGTCTGAAACATAATCCAGTGACGTCTCTGACTGCAGCACTGGGTGATGCGGGTTCGAATCTCAGAAGGGACATGGGTTCCTTCAAGATACGCCTAGCTGAAGATTGCCAACTAGCACGAAACCTAGGTCCAAGGCTTCCTGCCGATTGCCTCCAACCATCTAATATCATCACAAACAATGTACACCGTAATAACGAGCTACCTAGAATGGTGGCCACATTACAACCTGACTGATAGAATTCAGTCTGCACCAAAGAGAGGACTAGACGCATCACACTAGGTACTAGTGTCAAATCAAAATATCATTGGTTATAATAGGCAGTCAGCCTTGTCTTACTCCTGTATTCACTTCAGATACCTCGCTGAGATTTCCGTTGTGGATCACCTGACACGTGTCCTCATTTTCATATAGTTATTGAATGAGGTTGATAAAGACTTGAGGTACGCCGTAGTGCCGAAGTAGTTTCTAAATTAATTCTCGGTCAACGTTGTATGTCGAAGGCCTTTTCGAAGTCGATGAAGTTGAGGGAAACTAGCAACCCTAAACTACAAAAGCTATCAAAATGCTAGAGAAACTTCCATGCAGAAAAATGATTCACTAAATAATCTTCAGAAACACTGCTGTTCAGTTGATTCCGCATCACTTTGCTCATCCCTCCTTTATGGCTGTGAGACGTGACCATTGGAAGTGGAAGATATGAAAACCTCATCTGTCTTTGATAACAGATGTTCGCATTCTATCTCTCATGTTGAGTGGTCTAGTACTGTGAGCGGTATTGAGGCTAGTCATAAAGTGTTAAAAAGAAGGGTAAGTCAGTCTATGAGGTTGTGAGAATGAGTCGATTGAGATAACTAGGATACATGCTCCCCATTCCGAGCCACCGCCTTCCTAGACGAGCAATGTCAGCTTACATAATTTAATTCTAAAAAGAGTTGGCGGTGGTAAAACAAAAAGATGGCATCGACCCATGAAGTCTTTGACAACTGGTTTGAGTCAGCCAAATAGGGAGGTGTAGAATGCCTAGTTAGGGTCTTCAAAATGCTAAGAACTGGTGGTTTCAGACTATTGGTGGTATGGCTCAAAATCGTTCCCAGTGGCGAGAAAGCAATCACTCTTTCTAATCTCTCGTATCACTTAAACCCTTCTGTTTTTCCATGGTACTATACATTCTCCCTCAAATTACTGTCTTTTATAGTTCTTTTTAATATCTTTTTTCTCTCAGTTCTTTACTTTTGGGTGCTACATGGAGTGTGGCAACTTAGACTACTGCACCTCTGTGCAAAGTTCTATGTTGAAACTCAGTCAGTCAGCTGAATAAGCGCAACTGGGGAGGTCTAGCATAGAAAGATAACTTCCCTTACTGCAACACACTGGGTGACACCATTTCGAATTTCCAGAAAGCCGTCATTTCTTTAGAGGTCGCAGATACACCATGCTGGTAAGTATCAAGGAGTACGAAACATAAATTCACGGCTTTCTGTCAATCGCATGTAATCGTTTAATATATTGAGGTTTTCTGTCTGTTAGTTAATTTAAAAATAAAGTAAAGTAATTAGATTTGTTTTTTCGAATATGACCAAGGATTGATGTCGGTTAGAAAACCATTGAAAACCAGAAGGGAGTACTGGACGACCAGCTGTTTCATCCTAGTTTGGGAATCATCGGCAGTACGCACCCACCGCCGGGGTGCGAACCAAGAACCTTCCGGTTACAAGGCAAGCTCGTATGCCATTCAGCCCCTGGGACCCAATTCAATGGTCATTCCATGATTTCTAACTTCTACCAATTCGTGATTTAGCGCGTCCACCAACCAACGTCATTGGTGGGACATCCATCCTAACACTTGGCTAGATGGACCTCACGGGTCCGAGTAGTTGGATTATATAGGAGATTGCCTTGTAACCGGAAGGTGCTTGATTAGCACCCTAGCGGTGGGTGAGTACTTCCGATGATTCCCAAACTAGGATGAAACTACTGGCTGTCCAGTACTCCCTTCTGGTTTTCAGTGGTTCCGTAACTGATATCAATTCGTGGTCGAACTAGAAAAAAATCTGATCCTTACAAACCAACTCTTGACGAGTAATTAGAGTAGGGTTTATCAGATTTATATAAAGCATTGAAAAAATGTATATGTCGTAGGGCTAAGTTAGGTGTCCATGAATATTATCCATTCTCACATTCTCAACTAGAACTCAAATAAACACACCAGTATGTGATAGAGTAACAAAGTGATTATTAAGTTAAATGATTTGTGTTTTACCTGCATGTACAGCTGGAATATGTGAATCCAAAATTCCAAAACTTCCATTTACACGTGCCACTATACCCACAATAAATGTGATTAGACCGATCACCTACAATTGAAAATAAAAATAACAGTAATGTTATACATTTTCACCTTGTATATATTGCAACAGTTAGTGAGAACATCACATAAACATACTACTGTTAGTTAACACGTACCTACTTATGATGACAAGGATAAATTATATGTGCTGAAGTATGTTCTAGCAAGTCACTCTGGTAGAATACATTCGAATTAACCTATCTTTGTGTTCACATCTTGAATACATTAAACTATTATTTATTTAATTGGATTTTAGATATTCCCGTCGATTGTTTGGACCAATGTGCTCGGTCTCGAGTTGACATGTCGGCTTCTTGTGCAGATGCTTCGACGATGTCTGGGTACGTAATTCGAAGTTAAGGCGGGCTTAACTAAGTGTTTAACAAACCAAGTAATAGCACTAAGATCAAAAGCGAAATAAAAATAATGGTGGAACGAAAAATAATAACATAAATAACAAAGAATATAAGGCATCTATAGTTCTACCATATAAGGAGGAGACATCTGAAACCCTCTCTACGTAGGATTCTTAATAAAGCAGGAATTAGGGTGGCATTCAAACCTACAAACCTACTCAGAGACAAGCTCGGTAGACTATAAGACCCAGTGGGTTGACCCTATTAATCAAAATAATATAATTTACAAAACACCTTGCAATGACTGTGAATTAAGTCAACCACATAGGTCAGACTAGTAGATCAGGTGTAGTGAGATTATCAGAACATAAGAGTGATTGCCCCCACGAAGATAAGTAATTTAGAAAAAAAACTCAGCACTGCATTGTACTCCATGCATTAACACACAACCACACAATAGGGTAGGTGGGATAGAGTCAAAATTCTAAAATGTAATATAGGTAGGTGGAGAGAGAGGTGATTGATTACTGAACCCTAAATCCTGGTTCATCGAGTCTACACCCAAAACATGTAACAAAAATGACTGAAAGCAAATATCAGAGATGTGGAAGATGTGGTTACAAGTCAAATCAGAGGATAATAAATAATGTTAAAATGTGTTCATTCTAGTAAGTTACTTATTTTTACTATAAAAACATCTTGTTTCCCATGTGACTGTATTTTATTGATAACACTCGTATTATTATTTCTGAATGTACATTATCCTATATTGATTTTTATTCAAATGTCCAATCAATTTCACTCATGTTTATAAATGAAGTAGAGAGTTGTGTGATTGATTTGATATGATTATGAGTGCCAATAATTTGTGCTCGAAACGTCATCAGTTAATATTACTGTATAACACTGTGTGATTTATCAAAATAAAATCTTATCTATGATGGAATTATGCTCTACAACAGTGTCCAAGTTTTATACTTATTTTAAGTAACATCGTGTTTGTCTGTTAAGGGAATCGGACTAGAGATTCAGAGGTCGACCTAGACTTTCATTTCACCGTTAATCATCACTCATTATGTCAACAGCAGTTTGCCAAGTTTAGCCTGTCTCAGAATACTGAGACCCGTGCATCAGTGCTTCAGTGATAAAATGCTAGGCAACCACACACTTAGTCTGGAGTTGAATTCCCGGCAGACACACTAATAAAGCTCGCTTAGCCGGTAGTTAATTAGCCTGTTAGTGAGAAATCGTGTGAATAAATTGCGCTCGAAACGTCCTCCCGTTAATAATACTGTATAACTGTTATATCGGATAAATTACATTCTGCCACAGTGCCCAAGTTCTGCACTTACAGGTTGGGTGTGAAGCTAGAGACCCCACTCTGTAAAAAAATACCATCGCTACTGAAATATGATAGTCTCACCTTCGATTATACATGTGTTTGAAACGGTGCACAGCAAATGTCTTTATTTCGAAAATTGAAAAACCATGTAATTTTTCAATCACATGGTTGATTTACCTTAGAATCTAATTAAAAACACCTGTTTAACACACAAAAAAGCTGAAGCATCAGTCAGTTATAAGGACACCTAAAATGAATTTAATCTATTTCTCATAGTGCTTATCACGTTTGTCTTATAGACAAAATTCGATAATTAATTTTCTTTTTTTTAAGTGAGATTACTCAAGTTAACAAAATAACCATCGACTTAGAGTGAATGGATTAAAAAGTATTAAAAGCATAACTATGTCGATCAGTGTGTGCGTCGGCGGCACAGAGGTAGAATACTCACTAATCACATGTGTGTTCCGGAGTTCGATTCTCTGCCGACACACTCCCAAACCTCTCTAAGCCAGTAATAAGACTGGTAAAGAGGAAAGGTTGGGCATGAGGCTAGCATCCCCATCCCGTAAAAATTAACACCAATGCTACCAAAGGTTGAAGCCTCTAGCTTGAAGTAGCCTTATGTTTCACTAGGAACGTGAAGGAATAAACAAAAAAGTGGCGATCAGTAAATGTGACAAAATATTGTTAGAATATTCAGTTTTATGACATATCTGAACTCTTAACACTCATTCGCATCTACCGTTCATATATACCTGAAGTAATCCCTACATCATTAGGGATACAAAAGATTCATGAGAATTTAACGAAATACATGTATATATAAATAAATGGCATATTCTAAAACAGCAGTGTTTCAGAACAGCCGAATAAGAGCTTTCCTGTAGATTATTCAGTTACGAATAATTAATAAAACTGCCCTACTTTTAACATCTGTGATTAGACTCTTTCTTAAAATTTAGACTCCAGCCAAAACAGTTATTTACACGGATCGTTGTATGACCACAAACGGGCAGTCGTTTCGTCCTAGTTTGAGATCTTTCAGCAGTACACACCCATGTCTCCACTGAAGATCAAAGCTAGGACCTTCATGCTACGAGAGGAGTAGGTCAACCATTCAACCACTGGAATGGAATCCAATGACCTATGAAATCTACCTAAATTCTTCCAGTTCGCTGTGTAGATTGTCACTGCTAGCCAACGTCTTCGGTGAGTATTTCTCATCACATCCAACTTGCTGGATAAAGTCACCTGTCGTTCTAGTGAGAATTCGGGTGTAAGGTTAAATACTCACTGATCATGACTGGTTATGAAGATAAAGACTATATTTAAAAGACTGTAAAAACAAGTTTGAAACAAGTGAAGTGTAAATATAAAAGAAAACAGACGAATCCACTTTGTCCTACGCTGTAAGTCATTGCTTATTTGTATAAAATTTGATTATTTTAATCTTCAGGTATTGGTTTTGTAGGGATTTTTGTTTGTTTCATTTTTTTTGGAGGATTTCATCATGAGCAGACATCAGTTACAGGAACCGTTGGAAAACCAGCTATGGAGTACTGGACAGCTATTATGTCCTAGTTTGGGATTCTTCATCGGTACGCATCCAACAAAAGGCTTCGAATTAAGGACCTTCTGGTTACAAGGTGACCGAGCTCATAGACAATTAAGCAGCCACTGGGACCCACCCGACCCAGTGGCCAGCGCATGAATTCTAACATCTGCCAATTCATGACACAGTGCAACCACTAGCCAATGTCTTCTTCGACAAGTTACTGCCGCATCTTCAACCTGCTGCCCCCTTCTGGTCACGGATTTCCACTAGAAACCCCAGGTAACTAACTGCCTGAATAGGGCCAGTTGCTAGTGAGTATCAGATCAGTTTTCAAGTATTGGTTTTGTAGGCATTTTGTTTGATTGGTTGGAGGATTTCACCATGAGCTGACATCATCCCCATTAGTTTAGATGATAACGTTGGTCAAAAGCCATTCATATTGTGAATTCCTTAGCTTACCAAATCACACTATTTCACTAGTTTGATAAAATTAGTTTAGGTAAGATGAATAAGTTGATACTACAAGTATTAACAAACCGATACCCACTTCAGAAGACTTGATAAGTGCTACTCAGTACCTTAGTAGATAAAGTGCTGATGTTTGAAGTAATGCGTGTGTGACTTCAGTTTCTCATTTTAATGTACATGCTTTCGAATGATGGCTTCCTAACAGGAAGAAACGTGAACGATAGATTCAACTGCTATTTACTTTTGAATGAAACAGGAATATGACTGATTATATTTTTTCTATTCCTTCACGTTCCCCAGTGGGACATAGGGCTTCAAGCTATAGCCTTCAAGTTTCGGTAGCAGTGGTGTTTATTTTTACAGGATGGGGTTGCTAACCTCATGCCCAACCTTTCCTCTTCACCAGCTTTATTGCTGGCTTAACGAGGTAAAGGAGTACGTCGGCCGGGAGTTGAGCCCCTGACCATTTGCATGGTCGGCGAGCATCCTAACCGCTGTGCCACCGATGCACACTGATTATATTAATTTTTAAAATTATTAATGATATACTTCAATACAGTCTGATTATTACAACACTTAAATTTCTCTCCATAATACCTTAGTCGCTTAATCATGTCACTTTTCATTACTGATAATAAGGCATTAGTCAGTCGACCTTAAGCATAAGTAGATGATAATAAAAAATGGTTTTTCCCCGTCCCTCTGTAACTATCTTTTGACTCTGTTAATTTTTACAATTCTAGCTAATTAGATTAACTTGATTGTATCTTATGTAATCCTTCTGAATCATCCTATTCTTCTTAATCGTCATTATTTACAAATTTCTTGATTATGTAATAACTTGAAGTCAATTGGTGTATGATGACTAGTAGTGCTATCCAGGATGCGCATTCCGCCCCGTTTGAGACTAGTCATCTGAATGTACCTGCATTCCCCGGCGAGTGGTGATGTTCCTACTGAGGCTCGAACCCACTGCCCATAGTTTCAAACACCAAAGGGCCACGAGAGCCACCTCTTGTGCAACGGGTCTTATTAATTATCTAATTTAATTTCGGATTTCCCCATCGATTAATTGAACCGAAGTGTACGGTCTCAGGTTGACATGTCGGCTTCTTGTGCAGATGCTGCGACGATGTTTAGTACTGTCAACCTGAGACCTAGCACTTCGGTCCAATCAATCGATGGGAAAATCTGAAACTGAATTAAATATGTAGTGTAAGTTATTGGTAAGGCCTACGAATTAATTTACCTTGAATTCTGTAATTAATTTTCATCCCTCCCCC